CTCCCTCACACTACGCTGTGTGTGAAGGACATAGACTGGACTTTATAAGGCCAGGCATTCGGGGAACGGGAAGAGGCACCCCCCACAGGCTACCAGGGGCGGAGGCTCGCTCTTACAGCCAGTCACACGGGGGAGGGGAGACCATGTCGACCTGGAGTTAAAGACCGGACGCCTCGAGGAGAATCAGGGTCACCATGGAGAGCGACCGAGAGAGAGGAAGAGGAAAGTTCTCACTGGAGAACATGAACAGGCTCCTTCACAATGCCGCTGAATACTTTCTCCAGGCCCTGAAAGTCCATCACTGGGTTCTGCTGGTAGCATCAGCCCTGTATTCTGTTATACCCCTCTTGGGATGCGAATCCATCGGTGGAATGGGAGGGGCGTTCACAACTCTTCCCCTGCCGAATCCCCGAGGTGAAGGAGATTTAACCGCATCGGCCTGAATTCCATTGCCAAGGACTGCCTAGGTAGGACTGAAAAGTTGGCTCCATCTAATTCGACTCCACGTTTAAACTCCCGGGATCCCTCACCAACCCTGGCCCTCCCTTCCCAGGACCACGACCTGTCGATGAGTGGGTCCCCTAAACTTCTCTGCTTGCAGGCCGCCTGTCTTTCGAAGCCTTACATAACTCATCAATAAATATTCTCTCTGTGCCGAGAAGGTAATGTAGCTTGTTATGTAAACGCTCTATGTTTTTGAACCGCCGAGCAAATAGAAGCGAAATGTTCAAAAATAAACGGGGCTGCTTTTGTGGTTCCCCTAAGTAACGCAACCTAAGACCTTCGCCGTGAATCAGAGCCTTTCAGGGAAGGTTTCCTGGGAGCTTCAGCCCGGCGGAGGTTCAGTTCGCTTTTTTCAGAGGAGCCCGTAAACTTGGACCAGCTTTGACTCACACAGGCTTCCGGCCCAACGCAGACATCCCAAATCCCGGGTGTCCTCGGCTTCTTGGGCTAAGCCGTCCCGTTTCCTTAAAGCGGAGCACCGATGGCAAGGTCGGCACAGTCCCACTGGGAGATAGAAAAGCTCAGGGTGTCCCGCCGATGCTGGACACTGTGGTGCAGTGGTTAGTTGTCATGGGAGGAAAGGGCAAATATCTTCTGTTTACTCAGGCCTTTTTGGGACACCTACTCACACCTGCTGCTGCATTTATAACCAAAAATATTCGGAAGAAAGGACGATGTCAGACTGCTAAAAACAGAAATAAAGAGAAGGGAAACACTGCCTTTGTTCTTACCTAACACTCCATCTGCAGCAAATCGTTTTTGTTTTAATAAAACGCAGAGGGAAGGCAGACCCCTCATTCAAGGCCGAACATGTTGGTGTGCTTTTAATGTGGATTAAAATGGGGTGTTTGTAATATTTCACCAAACGAAGACATCAGTGAGGATGCAGCACACTGAACGGCATATCCAGTTTTCACGCAGCCAAATATGTCCCCCAAAATGTCAAGAAAAGTCTCCCTGAATGACGCCACTTAGCTTAACATTCTGAAGCTCACGTCAAGCGATTCCCCTGCCCAAGTCCCTTGCTGGTCGTGTAGGCAGTGATGGGCATCAGACGTGGGATGCCGACAGCCTCCTCGACGGTCATTCTCACATCCCGCGGACCAGCCAATCCACGTCGTACTGAGCACCGGCGCTAAGAACCATAGGCTGCCTGCTACTCGTCATCTCGGATGTGTTGTTGAAGCCTCATACTGGGTGTGATCCTGACCTGGAAAGCGGCGAATGCCACTTTGTTAACTTAATTGAAATTGGTGCTCTGCAAATTGAAATATCACCCCCTAATAAACAGCCCTTCGGCCATTACGGATTGTCTGTCATGCCACACGGCCTCCGTGTTTTAGTTTACATTCACCAATGGAGAGCTGAGGCATGTCACCAGGCTCGTGCTCCAGAATCCGAATGGATCACCAGCAGTTGGTCCTGCATTTATGGATGGACAATTGGTCACCGTGGAGACCGTGCTGTCGAGCCCCCCCCCCCCCCCCACCATGGTCGTTACCAAGGCCACGCATGGACCTTGTTGAAGTCAAAACTGGACACAAAGAGGACTCAGCTGGTGCCTTCAGATAGCTCACACTGAGGACCAGGGTTCCGGAAAGATCCACTCGGTCTCTGCTTATAGGTGAACAAGGCAGCTCTTTCTTCTGAAGCTACTAAAGGGTGTTTTTTTTGGAAGTCTTCTGGAGTTTTTTTTTCATCTGAAACCTTCTGAAGTGTGTTTCTGATAATATGCAACGGTCAGCATTTGCTACAGCTCACAAGTACACATCCTGGCCTGCTTTTAAATCTAAATATGATAATAATAATAATAATTGAAAAAGGATAAAAACACCATCACATCAGAAGAAAACCACGCAGCAAAACGGTTCTTGCTGTTCTGGGTTGAGCTGTTTTGTTTATTCTTCCCAAATTCCATGCTTATACAGTACCGAGCTGAGTCTGGAGCCCAAAAAGGAAGGGACACCCTGCATGGGACACCCTGCATGGGACACCCTACAAAGTGCCATTACTAGTATCTCACAGGTACTGAGGTGATAGATGGGGATGAGGAGAATTCTCCGGGAGTCTCACACAAAGTGTGAAACCTCAACGAATTGTTTATGCAGATTATGCTGTACGTCAGGTCATTTAAACACATGCCATGGAGTGAAGGGAACATATGCAGATGTCATGTTTTAATTTCCCAATCACCCCCCCCCCTCCCCACACACATAATGCAACAGTGGAAATACCCAGTTTTGGTTGGAGCAGGTGCATCCCAGGAGGGGGATGAGGGGGATGCACAACTGAATGCTGGACAATAGCACTGAAACAGAAGTGCATCATGAATTAAGCACCCGGCTCGACTGTCAATGCCCTCGGCGCACATCCATTACACTTCACTGCCCTGCCTCAGACACCTGCTGTGGATCCAGGACTCAGAAGTCGCTGAAACTGATGTCCAGCCACAATCAAACACAATAAATACAGCAGGGCCAATCCATCACATGAGCTCTTTCCTTATTTAAACAGGCACACACCTGCATACAATCTGCCCTCAGTACAATAAACTGTCGTCCAATAATGCTGTTCGAAGTCTCCATTTCCCAAGCCCTCTTCAATTTGGACCAAGTCCCTCGCAAATGCCTCCTGGGGGAATCCCTAGAAAGACAGCTGCCCTCAAATTAATGCCAATCAAGGGGCGGAATCCGCCTTTACAGTGTAAAAAAAGAAATAGACTCCTCCATCCCCTATTGGAGGAAAATGTAACATTCCATCTCACTTTGACAAAGTTAACTTGATGAAAAATTAGGGTGCAAGTAGCCGTAGGCATTGTGATTTATGACATCCATATTCTAATTCTACTCCATTCTCATAAAACCTCTGCACTTTTTTTCCCTTCCTTCTAAGGGCCTGTTCTCATTTTCAGCCAATGCTTTCCAGTCAAGGGTTTTAAAACGCACTTTCCATTGGATAGTGAGGAAAGAAAGTTTTTCTAATCTCTCTGCTTCTAGAGACATCGTTAAGCATCGGCAGTCACTTTCCAGGCTACAATAAACAAGAAACATTTGCTTGGGAATCATTAATTACGACAAAGATCCCGGAAAGCTACTTTTGCTCCGCAGAACTGCAAGATGAGTAACGTCTGTTTCAGGAGGCCTTGTGGATGGAGAGTATAGATGGCTGGAAAGCTGTCTTTAGGTGACAGGATGTAATTCTTCCTGATCATCTTGAGAGAGAAAGACCAAAGGTACCGAGCAAGCCGGCCCCCGAGCATTCAAGACCCGGCTAAATCATAGAAAGGCGCTGTGGTGTTCTGGCAGCGTTGGCACATCTCCATCACTCTCCGGGTGGGAGAAAAGCCTCCCACTGCATTGACCCGATGCTCCCCAGCTCAATGCATCACTGCAACCCCCCCCCCCCCCCCCCAGCGCTTAATGGCTATTAAAACCTGCTGTCCTGCACTCCTTTCTTCATTTCTGACAGCACATCCGCAGGACCGTGCCAGTTAGTCCGCACCTGAGACGAGGTCTAGCAGCCACAGCCCCCATTGCCGCAGAAGCAGGATGCTGCCAGAGCAGTGTGCCGCGAAGGGACTTTCACCGTGACTTATCCACAAATCCATTAAGGGACTGCAGAACCTCACACGGCGGTCGTCTCAACACCACATCCTGGGCCGGCCTTGTGGCAGCCCCCAAACAACTGATTGCTGACATACTATATGGGCTTATTTGGTGTAATAAAAAAAGTCGTCAGGTGGATGGAAATGCGGCTCATGCCTTAACTCACCCGGGGGCGGGGGTCGCGTTCTAGCTAAGATAAAAAATTACGACATTGTGGACTGGGAGACTAAATTGAACACCCCGCAGTAGGCTAAAAAGATTCAAATCCTCAAACAGAACTTTCACTTTTCTCATGCCATGATCAGAATCACTACTCACACAGAGATTAACTTCCTTTACCGGTTTACTCCACTTTACATCCCATCTCCATCAGCATTTTGGGCTTTTTTTTCCACGCACACAAGCATTGCTGCCCAACTGAGGAGGCTACAGTGTGAAACGAGGCCAAGTCACACTTCCACGAAGATGCAATGGACACCTCTATGGTAGAAGCAAAGCCCAGAGGATAGTGGCAATGAATCAGGAGAGGAAGGAGAGAGAAAAGTCGAGGGGAGGAAGATGAAGTTGATGACATCTCGTCGTGGCTCGCAAGTCCACTGCAATGTGGCTATACTGTGTCAGAAGCATTCATAAAATAATCAAATGCAAACAGGGGACATCCAGGATGATAACTGACGGCACACTGAATGGTCGGACACTGGTTAGCTAGGGAGAAGGACTGTTTTTTGCATGTTTGTGCCATTTCTAATGTCTGTATTACTCCAATTTACAGGACAAAAACAGAAGTTGCCATAAACCCAGTGTGCAGTCAGTGTGGGATAAACACGAAATGACGGGAAAACGATACAGAGAAACAGTGATCAAGGGCAGAATCGAAAAAGCAGAACTTACAATATTTCGTCATTCTGGAACTCCAGAACTCCATGGCAATCTTCAAAGTCCTCCCCTCCCCCCTTTGCTGTACCTTCGATGGTCTTGTATGGGACAACAACCACGCCCCTTGCCCCTGAGGTGCGAAGCACTTTCACTTCCATAATGCCAACGCTTTCGCTCACATGTGTCACTGGATCGTCAAAGGTGAAGATGCCAGCGTGGTCGTCATCAAAGATGGTCACGGTGGCAGTGGAAGGCATCCCCAAGCAGGCCACGGTCTCCACATGATTGGCTTCCTGGTTCTCATCTTCGTTGCCCTCCAACACCACCTTCACGTTGCTCAGGTGGATCAAGAAGTTTTCGTCCTCCTCAAAAATGTCGTCATCAATGATGCCCACCCGGATCTCCTTCTGTGTCTCTCCAGGCTTGAAGACCACGACACCCTCTGTGAACTCATAATCGGACCCAGCATTGGCAGTGCCATCCTCAGTCCTGAAGTCCACCGAAATCGTCTTGCCTAAGTCGCCACCACGCCTTAGGACGTTCACAGCCACGGTACCGCAGTTCTCCAAGCACTGGTACGAGCCCGGATCGAAGAAGATTTTGGAGACTGGGTCATTGTCCGCCACTTCGGGGCGCACCTCGTGCAGGCTGACAGCCTTCCTGGCCTGGTCGGCAGCGTGCTTCTTCAGAATGTTCCCCGCCCCGGTCATGAGCCTCGTAGCCTGACAGCGATAGAAGGCTCTGCTTTTCTGTTGTTGGCTCAGGACCTGGTAGTTAGCCAGCTCAATTAGTTGCTCTACTTCCTTATCAGGGTGCTTCTGCTTCAGCTCCTTGAGAATTTTAGCCATATCTCTCCTGGTTTCCTCCTCATCCAGGTCTTTGTCATCCAAGTCCAGACCCAGGGTTCCATCCAGAAAGTCCACGGCGTGAGAGTTCAGCATCTTGCCGTCCATCTCGATGTCGACCTTTGATGGAAGCGGCCGGTCACCTTCGGTCTCTATGATCATCCCACGTTGCTTCCCAGCTCTGTAGCGTTTGTACACATACTTGTAGAACAGAAGGCGGCGGTCTGCAATCCATGCAAACATGACACACAGGGGGAAAAAAAACAGAGTCAGCAACCCCTCCCACACCTGAACCACGCCTGGAGAGATGACGGCCAAAATCAAGTAAAGCCAGATGTAGGCAAAGATGCTCCAGGAGGCTGTCATGAAGAAGACCCTGAGATGCTTGACCTTCCGATGTTCTCCTTCGGGGACGACATAGACGCAGAGGCCAATGATGACAAACATGTTGAAAGCAGCGCTGCCTACAATAGTGCTGGGGCCAAGGTCTCCGGCGTTGAAGTTGTGTCCACACACTTCAATGACAGACAACAGGATTTCGGGGGCTGAGGAACCAAGGGCCATCAGAGTGAGATTGGACACGGTCTCATTCCATATCCGCACGGTGGTTGTTGTCGTCTCGCCATTGGGCTTCTTGATGGTTATCTCCTTCTCCTGTGATGTGATGACCTCAATGGATGCCATGAAGCGGTCGGCAATGATTGAAACTCCCAGGAACATGTAAACCAAGGCCACAAAATAGACCGTAGCCCTCGCCACTTTGTCCCCAAAAGATGGATTCTGGGGCTCCCACACCGGCAGCAGCACGCCAGGTGCACACTCATAGGTTCCAGTGCAGCTGGAGGAGCTGTTCATAGTCGGATGCATTTCTGGATCCGGGGTCTGTTCTGGGTTCTCTGAAGCGGCATGTGGAAGTTTTAAGAACAAGACTGCCAGTACAATGGCAAGCTTAAAACCAAAGGACAGAAAGAATGACATCTGTGACCGTTCCATGATGCCAACAAGAATTCTACTGTCCAGCTATTCCCACGCCTGTGAAAAAAGAAAGGAATGGGTCACTGTGAGACGGTTATCTAGAATATGATATTTAAAAGCTTAATTTTACCCGTAAATGAGCATTAAGAGCCAGTACTAAATTACCTCTAGCCAGCTTAAAGCATGGAGATAAGAAGCGAACTGAATAAAAACACGTATTTCTGGGACACTTTGCATAAAACATCCAAAACAAACGCAGCTCTGTAATGTATGTGCATTAAATTTAGAAGCAGCGCTGTTCATTTCTAACGACCTGCGGTGATCCGACGGCGACCTGAAAGTATTCCCGCTAGAGCAGAGATGCTAGAATACATTCATTCTGGCATTACAGCAAATACAAAGGGCGATCGCAAGACGACAAATTGCTATGAGGGGCCAAAACTCCTCGAGGTTCCAGTGGCACCAGACAGACACAATGCACTAATACAGGCAGCTGGTACTGTACTACAGCGCAAACCATGCGCATTCAGCCCTGGTGAAGTGCTTGCAGAGATACGCTATATTTCCACATTGACGCTAAATTGTGTATACAGCAATCATCTGTATGCAGTGCTATGGATTTTTAAGCACAGCTCTTATTGCCAATACCCTACCTTTCGATATTCACTTCACTAAAAATATTAAGAATTGATATATCGGCATAGCCTGGAATTCTGACTGTTCGGATAACCCCCTTCCATCTAAATGCACATACTCCTTTAAGTCAAACACCCGCTATCATCCAGGGGTTATGTTTTAACAAAGTATTGTTAAATCTAATAGCATACTTTGCAAAGTGAAAATTGCGCATCAATCGTAAAGTGAAGCCAGTTTTCAAAGGCACGCAAATCGTCCGAAACAACAGTGCGTAATCTCCTACACATTAACTTCATTTCTTCTCAAACGACTTTGGGTGTGAAAATATGAAGTGTTTAGATGAAAAAATACATCGCAACTTATCCTGGCCCAAAACTGCGTTAGAGAATAACGGAAATAACTAGCGTTTAGCTGCGCGTGAATAAATGAAAATGTTAATATAGGCACGCAGAGATACCGTTATAACAGCCCCGTTAACAATGAGATGGGGCTCCATTCAATAGAAAACAGCAGATAATTACGGAATCTGACACTGGCTTTCCAGTTATCCTCAATACAACTGTCCGGAGCTACAACACTCATAGATCACCACACATATATCCAAATGCACTTAATACACATACAATTAAGCCATATACAGTAATCACAATTCTGCTACAAATTGTCTACAAACAATCCCTATTATAGTACGTTAACACAACTTATTCTACGCGCCATTCAGCTCGATTTGATGTTTCTGAATTACTAATCACTCCATGGGACAAAAAAAAATCAATGCAGCACCGTACCTTTCCTCCGAAATCACACACGGCAGAGGATGGTGTCAGTAGTGGATGCAGCCGTTGCACTGGTAGCGGTGGCAGTAGCGGCAGGCGTAAGTGGCACCACCGCTTGCATTCGTTTTGGTTTTTATACGAAAGCAGGAAGAGCTGCGGAAGCCTCCGAGATTCCCATGCACACGCGCTTTTTTTAAACCGGTATGGTCGGAATAATCAGATAAGTGATGTTATCAGCGGATCTGCAGTTCCGAGTACAAAAGGGTGCAATTGCAACTCTTCCTCATTCTTTATTTTCTGAGCGGCCAGAGGGAGCGGGCTGCCGAGCTAGTCGGAGGCAAAAGAGAGACTGAGGCGCCGGGCTCTGCGGCGCTGCCCGTGAAGCGGAGTTGTGACCAACTCGCTCTCTCCTTCCCTCTCTCCCCCCACCCCTCACCCAGCTGTCGACTGCTCGAATATTTTCCGATTTCCGCCGGTTTCGTAGCCTCACTGAGAACGGGGAGAAAGATCACGCTTGCTGAGTATCACGGCCATTTGCTGGCCTCATTGGTGTCCAGACCCTCCCACATTGCCGTTCCGCGTTCTTCTCTTTAACTATATGGTTTCCAACGCTTCATCGTGCTAAGATGTTGCATATTGAACATTGCACGTAAAGCATTTACACTCGCATATGTAGCACCACGTGTGTGAATTTTGCTAGGATAAGATGCAGCAATTGCTGGGAAAGTTTTAAAAAATTGTCCCTTGAAGCAACTTCTTACATGCAAGTGTGAGTGCGTGCGCTCATTTACCACGATGATGTTTAAATGAAACCGTGTTGACACCAAGATCGTGCGGGGCGTTGTGCGTTTGTCTCAGGTTAAAAAGTGAACACGTTTCTGTGTCAGGTAAATGTTTTCCTAAATGACACAAATGCAGGCTTCCGATTGCGCCCAGCCAGTTTTAATATTAGCAGTCTACACCTGATACGTAGTGTTTTTATGAATGGTGACGCACTGATTATTCTGAATGTGGAAAAACAGATGCATTTGGTAACACACAATACTTGTAGTTTAGACAAGCTTCAGTAATCGATTTTTTTGCTTTAACCATGTGATTTGATGTATCTATAGTAATGCAGATGGTTTAGGATAAATACTGGGCATATAGTCTTTCGTATCCTTAGTACAGAATCGGTTTCGTTTTAGTAATATTTCTAAAAGCACGATCGAGCACAGAAGGCTGCAGTCCTATTGCACGTATAAACTGCATTAAACTGCACAGAAGCACTAAACTCATTAGACTTCTTCCAAATATTTACATAATTCACATGGTTTCAACTTAAGTTTTACAAATACACGTTGATAACGGACACACAGGAGGACGCAGTCCGTACAAATATTGCGATGCTAAGGACAATGATACGAGTAAACGCTGACGAGCTTAATGTGCATTTATTTTCTTTTAACATGCACAGTATGATTAACATCGACGGCGAAATATACAGTTTGTCGATTTAAAGAACATCCGTTGACAGATTTAGTAAATATGCTTATAAACCTTACAGCATTACTACGTCCACTTAATTGACTGTGTTAATATTGCCTACACAATACTACATAGAGTAGTTTCCTATGCCGCCTAGAAACTGCTTTTTGATGGCAATTTAACTATTTGTCGTGGTTGTATGATTTAACTGCGTCTGACTGAAGTATCTAATATAAGCACCCGTGTTTAGTTGCATAATCTAACGTTCGAATTAGCAAGACATACAGTATAAGATCTACTATATTCCTGTCACTTAAATTACGATGACCCACATATAAAATAATGCTAAGTCTCTGCGAAGCAATAAGGAATCGTCACAATAATTCATATAAATGCTATGCGACAGGTACTGCTGAAAACACAGATCACTCTCAAATACAAACTTAACTAACATATTTGCATTCAGCGTGACCACAGCCTACTATCTTCGGTGACTAAATCAGCCCTGACAACAAAATAAAACAACGCAAGAACCTGGCCAACTAAATCAGGTTATATATCATGAAGATCAACAGCACAGCAAGCGGAGTGAGGAGGTGCAGGTTATCGTGGCTTTGTATTTCACTGCATCATGAGAAGTCTCTTAAATGGAAAACTCAGAAATACTTAAGTTACAGTGTGCTGTGCATCATGTGGGCATTGAGCTTTCAGCTACAGTGGGGGAAAAAATGTAAGCATGTCTGGCAAAAACAGATGAAGTGATAAAAATTACTCACTTTTATCAACATTAGGCTCACAAAGACCTTTCCCTGCCTTGACCTGATCAACCTTGCTTTGGCCAAGCGGTGTAGGAAATGTGACTGTTTTGCAAGCAGTAATGAGACATCACCAGTAGGGGCACTGTAATTGACCTTCATTAACATGTCTTTTGGGAAAACCTGCCCCCCCCCACTGAAGTGCAAAATCCCAGGTGGCGTAATGGTATAATATCCACGGTACATCGTATGAATGGGCAGCAGATTGAGTTGTATCGATCAAGTACTGCTATTTGTCTCACAGCAACTACATTTTCTCTGTTTTACAGCTATGAAATGGGAATTTGATCAATAGCCCTACTACAGACAAGCAACAGCAGGAATGAGTTTATAAAAATGATAAGAAGGAGCTTTGTGAAGTCTTTCACCCAAGATACAAAGTCATTTACTTAATGATGAAACTCGATGAGACTGAAGATCCCACTGGAACGGCGATGGACACCTGGGCCAGAATTTAGCCGGTTCTTTTGCGTTTTGCTTTTGCTCCGGTGCAAAATTCTCATGGTAACTGGTTAAATTACAGTATTCAGGACTGACGCTGCGACTTCTGCAAACTGGAAACGCATCACTGTACTACAAGTAATTCATTTGGATTAGTCAGTCTGGTCCAGTATTGTTTTGGTCCAGAAAGCAGGAGGACACCACTTTGTAACCTGGAAACAGGAGGATCAAAACCCTCAGATCCCCTGCTGCAGTCATCTCAAGAAAAGTATTGAACCTGACTTTCACCAGGAAAACATACAGCTGAATATTTCACAAAACAAATGTAAGTTGCCTTGAGGAAAAAAAAGAACATTAGGCAGTTAAATAAATTGCTTTGGATGTTCACCCTGCTGAGCACCTACGCTGTGTCTGAGAAAGGCTGTCTGTCGTCTCTCCTAGGTGTGCCAGAATGTGCCCATTCAGCGTGGAACTGGCTATGGAATGACTTTCCAATGGAAACGATGACTCTGGATTTTTCTCACCAGCCATGGTGAGAAACCGTTGTCACGCAAATTGCTCTGAGGAAAGTGACCTTCTGCAAGCCTGTGCAGAACAACGAGGAAGTGCTGGTGTTATCTCATTAATGTTCAGCATTCATAACCCAAAACTCAAAAATAAAGTCACATTTACTTCCTCCTTTCTACAATTTATAAAATGCAGACCATGAGCACAAAACAAACTACATATTTTCATTTATCAGGCACAATAAACACATTGCCACCTATCCCAGAATTACGTATAACCTACATTCCATCTGCTGTCCCTAGACTTGTGATACGATTACAAACAGCCTGCAAACTTTTCGATACCTTTCTTCTTTTTGCACAGGAAAGTGAGAGACAGGGGAGGATGTGGATGTCCTGAGGAGGAGCAAGTGAAGAGCAAATTGAGCAACCTGTAACAAATCATGAATAAAACGGAATAAACTTTTGTTTGTACCTCAACGACCAAAGTCGAATCTCAGTCGTAGCCTTTCCCAGGTTCCAGCCTATATTCTCAAGCCCTTGACAGTTTTCTGTGCCAAATCGGAAATGGCTGTGTTTTGTCCTAACCCTAAGCCTCCTTGCCTTTCCGTAAATCCCTCTCCCAAAAGATGCTCCCATCCCTTCTTCCCAAATCCCGTGCATCACGTGGATCTGCACGTGGCCGGCAGTGAAACGGCCCTCTGTGCAGAAATGTATAAATGATGGTTGTTTAATAAAGCCTGCTATCAGGCCGGAGATATATGGGGTCGTTTTGTATGCTGGTATGCATTTTTTAAAACGATTTTAATTTGCATTATATAACCTAGCTCTTATTTATTAGCCATTTTATCCTGAGGCATTTTTAAGCGTGAAGGACTTGTAAAACAGCCACGGCACGCAGGGTTAGCGACAAAAAGCAGGTACTGGACAAATTTACTTAGGGCCTCCATGCCTGCCACCTGAAGAGTGTTATGCAACTATATAACCGCAGCAAGCGAGGGGCATGCTAACCAAGCAGGTGATGTCATTATGGAGGGATTGTGTGTCACTCATCTCCAAACAGCAGGGTCAGCAGGCCAGCGAGACACATTTTGCACACCCCCACGGGCATTTGGTACAGTGTTCCTACACACTAACGCCCTAGAGATGGTTCTCAAGGTCATGACCTTATTTACAACACTGCCATTTTAGATCAGGGCATTAATAGTACTGTGCAGTAGAACATTAAAGGTAACAGTCTCCCAAACGTCAATCATCAAGCTGAACCTAACATTCTGAAATGGGCTGAAACATCACAGACTGTTAAGCAGCTCGCCTTGTGTGGAGAGCACCTCAAACAGTCGGTAATAAGGACTGACAGGCAGTCCCAGTGGCAATGATGACTCATTAACAAATATGTGGATGGCTTCCCTGCCTTGATCACCCTGCTTTCCAGCCAGACGGCTGAACTTCACGAGGCATGCATATTCACGGCCAGTCTTTTGGTAAACACGGTGACCTTCAGGTTGGTCAAGGTGCTGGTACAACAGAGTGTAAATAATAAAAAATGAAGGAGATAGCGGACAGGCAAAAATGTCATAAAATAATGAGAAACGAGATAAAAAAAAAAGAGGCTGAGCTCTATTTGCCGGTAACAGCTGCACGTTAAATGATGTACAGATGTGTGAAACCCACGTTGTGGTTATGATTCACCTGTGACGCTTCAAGCTTAGGGGCTGAAACACGCCCTTGCTGAACAGAAGGAGCCTCACATCACCGCTGAGCGCTTTGTGGCTCATTCACCTGATACCATCTGACGGAGTCATAGTTGACCACAGAGCAACATGAGACACATCTGCTGGTTTCATTGCCCACAGTGTCAGGAGGTTTGAAGTTCACGGTGGTATGAGCAGAGGAGCTGGTTTCACTCCCTTCTGAAGAAGGGCTGCATTTTTTTCTCTCCTGAGTTATCATCGTTATTGGGTGCCTTCGAGCTGATGGCAACTTCTGCTGACCATATGGACAGCATTCCTCCAGAGAAGAGTTTCCCAATCCTCGGGGGTTCTGGGGACCCACAGCCGGTCCGCATTTTTGCTCTTCCTGAGAACCGGATTGGGAAACAGTGCTGTAGAACATTCTGTCTTCTTTCCAGGTCCATAGGCTTCCATGCATCTTGTTGCAAGTCATTTTGTACCTCTTCTTCCTTTAGTTTTTCCTAGTTTTATGGTCCAGTTTGCTGGGTTTTATCATAATGTGGCCGAAATATGACAATTTCACTCTAGTCATTTGTGCATCAGGTGAAAGTTTGGACTTGGTTTTATGGAAAATCCACATACTCGTCCTCCTTGAGGCCTGTGGTTTTCTTACAATTCACCACCAGCGCCAAAGAACAAAGGTGTCAATAGTCATCCTACTGGTCCAGTTGTCACATCAATAGAGAATCACAGGAAATACCATCTTCTGAAGAAGCCTTATCTTTATTCTAGAAATACATCTGTATTTTCAAAGATTTTTATCTAGCACCTTTCGCTGAAGCTGAAAAGTGCCAGTGACTGTTAGATTCTTTGTTGCCAATTGTTCCACGGAGGTAAGATATACAGTATCTATTGTTCCACGGAGGTAAGATATACAGTATCCATAACCTCTATGTCTTCAGCATGAAAACTAAAGTTAGCTATGGCTCCTGTAGTCATAACTGTTGTTTTTCTTCACATTTGGCCATAGTGTCATCTTTCCTCTCTGTTCTCTAACTTTAACTGTGCTTTAACTGTCATCACTCTTGTTCAAAATCTGTGTTGAATGATATTTAGCATAATATTGCTGGAGTGAGATATGAGGGAATTTCCGCGATTGTTATAGGGAGCGAGAGTCAGAGGGACATATGCTGAACCTTCATTAGTAGGGCTGTGATTGGCAGCCTCACACTGGTTAGTGACGACACCACGGCAGACTGGACCTGCACTCGTCCGTCACTCATCCTCTTTAGATGCAGGTAGAGCCACCACGATCACACCAGTAAATTCCATTACTCAATTTGATTCCTTGGCAAAATGGTGGAAGAAGATGCCGCACAGTGGATGAGGGTCCAAATGAAGACTGGAACCATCAGTTGTGTGGAAGCACTTCATGTTAAAAGTGAAAGGAAATGCAGTCCGTCTGTCAGCATTGCAGAGCAGAACTTAAATATCACCACGGCAAGACTTAAAAGAAGACGTTGGGGTTTGATGGACTCGCCCAGTGACGCGAGGGTAGCCATTTAGCCGCTCAGAGTGCCCTAGCCTGTCTGTGTCATCACTTTGACTTAAATAATTTTGCTTAATTTACTTCCTACGATTCATGTATGTTCAAATAATCATTCCCCCATCGCAACATCTTACATAATATGGTACATAAAACCATATAATATTGATTATTATTTCTGAAAGTATTGATTGTTTTGAGTGGGACTGAATGATATTGGAAAAAGTGCATATTTGTGATATTTGAAGTTTTTGCGATACTTAGGAGTTGAAAGTTAACTATATAGTCAAAAAGAACTTATTAACCACCGAAGGAGACTGTCCGATAAGTTGGGGGTGTTGCCATGAGTTGCGTCAAAAGGCACAAAACAGTGCTGACAAGTCATTTGCTTTTGCTCAATATCGTCTCTATGAATACAAAATATTTCTGTACAGTGGAAGACTTTCTGTGACCAGTTCTTGTTCGATTTTCTCCATTTCTCTCATTTTTGTTTAATTTCTCACAAATGCACCACATGGTCTGTGAGTGAGTCCAACAGCAAGACCTAGCAGGATTATGACTCTCTCGGAGAGTGTATGCAGAGCTCATGCAAAATCAGCGGTGGTAGACTTTAGACATTTATTTTTTTTAACATATGCCAGATAATGTTGAAGTGGAACCGTCATTAAAATTGCAAAGCTTGCAAAATTTTGCTGTCTATGACTGACTAAAAATGGTTTAGTGCAACTGGTGATGGTCTCATCCCAACAGACTATTGTGGTCCAATGTGACAAGTGCATGTGCGTGAAATGCCGAGGCGATATTAACGTGGCACATTGTGCACGCCGCAGGCTGTATGGTGAGGCGGTATGGCGGCACTACGCAGTTTCGTGTATGTGTGGAGTTTGCACGTTCACCCCGTGTGGGCGTGGCTTTTCAGGGGATCCTCTGGTCTCCTTCCACTGTACAAAAACATGCAACTTAAGCGAATCGTGGTGCCTAAAGTGACCGTATGTGTGACTAAGTGAGCACCACCATGCAGTGTCCGGGCCACATCACATATCGACTGCCCACGCTCAAATGCTGAAGCACCAGAATATTCTGTAACTTGTGAGCCTTTGTGAACCAAAAAAAGGCAGCATAACATACACATCACAACCAGTGGGGCGTTCAAATGGATTTCGAGGGGGTCAAGGGTTTGAAAAACTTTATTTACATATTATCCTGGTGGGGGGGGGGGGTGACATATTTGGGATTTTAACAGCTATGTTGCCCCAGTGTCCGCATGAACCGTTCACATGAATCGTATGCACAACATCGTTGCTGCTCTAGATTACAAGATCGTCATATTTTAAGGCTAAATAAGGATGTATCTGGTCTATGGCTCTCCAAATGAAACACTTGTGTTTCCATTATAATCATGCAGTGATTACAATTAGAATATAATTTATTAAAGAAACAGCAAAGGTTAAATAGGAAGCACTCAAAACTATTAACCAAAGTTACCTTTACTGAATCTGGTTTCAATTGTTTAGAAATACTGAAATATAATATCAATCACATGGCGTTGTTTACATTTATCAGTGATCTTAATCATTGTCTTCAATAGCTTAAATTTTTAATAGAAATCCATCAGTAAGTAGAGCAAAGGTATGGGGCTGTTTCCATGGTAACTGATCACCATTCCCCACACCCACAGGCTCTTCAATTAATGAAACCCAGCTGGTCCTGATTGGGCTAATTGGCTTGTTAGGAGCTTAAATAAGGTCAGCTGGGGTGTTATGGGGGGAAGCTGCTGCTGCTTTATGGGCTGTTTGTGGGTTTTGGTCTGTGCTCTTCAGTTAATGGCGCTTCTGTCACCTTTCTTTTTAACTTTGTGACTAAATGAATTTCTTAAACAATTATGCTCTGTCCGGCATCTCTGTGAAACTCTTTGGCAGACCTCTGTCCTCCAATCTGCTGTAACACCGCAATCCTTTGTATAGACATATGGGAGTTTAATTACACAAAAATGTTCTGAGGACAGAATGAAAAATGATTAGTTCAGAAAGATAACCAATCAGATGGTAAAGGAAGTAGGTCCGAAGAACTAGAGGAGGCAGGACCAATACATCTGATTGGCCTGAACTAACCATTTTCCACTTTGGCCTCAGAATATTTTTGTGTAAGTAAAATTCCCACGAGCTTTGTACAGCCGACTGTTTATGAAGCAGTAGATTAAGTACCAAGTACAATAACATAATGTCTGCAAGGACATCAACTGCAAAAGTTTTTCTGTCCCCAGCAACCTCACATGGAACTTATACTGTAGGAGTTTAGTGAGTTTCCTACGGTTTATACGTTTCTGGGCGACATTGAGGCTAACATTGAGGGGGTTTTAATTTGAGAGCTTATGGGGTGATATATTCATCCATCCATCAATCTTCTAGCAATATATCCAGGACAAGGTCATGGGCAACCAATCACAGGAAGGACAGTGTGCAAGGTCTCTCCATTGCAGGGTACAACCACTCAACAATGGGCAATTCAGAGATTCCAGCTGGCCTTCCGTCTGTGTTACAACCTACGTGGTTGCTTTAGCAAAGGATGTTAGGACTGCCCTCGAGAAACATTTCAATGAAATCTCCAGTCAGAAAGTGTGCTTCAGTTTTACATACATAGTGTTCTGTTGCTGGAGGAAGCTGATGCTTTTCAATTACCCCCGTGCATCCTGAGAAATGGGTCAAGCTGTGAGGTGGGCGGATCGATGACATCTTCGGAAGCACACTTCACCTGAAGTTTACGACCTGCTCCATAACCGTGGTCGGTCTGCCTGATCTCTCGGGGAGGATAATTCATGGAACTGTGCAAAATACCTAAAGCTGTGTCCTCGTGGAGAGTGGGGGGGGGGGTCTACATTACTATAGGCTGTGCTTCACTAGGACAACCTCCTTCTCTGGGGCATAAACCTATATATACAGTCTGGTACCTGCATCTGCTGACAGAAGCACAAACGGCTCGAGTTGCAGATACTTTTTTTTGGATTTTTCAAGGCCGTTAACGTGCATTTAATATTCCTTAATATTAGTACGGCAGAAGAATACTGGTGCTTTTATGCAGGGGCTGGTCATCATCAAGGGGGGGGGCGGCTGCTGAGGACTTTTGAAGGTCGTCATTCAGGAGAGGGACCAGGTTCCCCCCCTGTGTCACATGTCCGGGAGCGTGAGCATGTATGGCTCACGTCATGTGACCAAAGACACACTTCCGAGCTGTGAGGCCTCCCAGTGTCATATTGCAACACTATAAAGTGCACGTGTACACACACACACACACACACACACCTTTGTGTGGTCTCCATCTTACTGGCTTACCTAGTAGTGCTGTCCAGCTTGGCGAGACACCATTCTGAAGATGGAGACAGAAAGCCAAATAAAAGCAGATAACTCATGAGAAAGGGAGCCCAGCCTGTCACTTTACCAGCACATTTCGCAGCATTACTGCATTACTGCGGTCGCCACACGCAGTAACGACCTCCAGCAGCAGCCGCTGGCATTACTGCGGCGTGTTCTCACCTCCCTGAAGGACACCAGGCCCGGCTCCGTCATTCCCACTTCCTGCTCGGCGTTCCCGTAATTTATCATCCACACGGCCCACCCCAACACCCCTCCCTTTGACTCACCGAATGCTCTGTGCTGCCTGACAGGATCCAGCCCGGTTATGGAGACCAGGGTTGGGGCCGAGGGGAATCGGGGCGCCCGTGTTCCCCGCTCCGCCATGGCGGCCCGGCCCGTACGGCCGAGATCAGACCCACGGATTTATCGAGTCCACATTCTGCTTCGTATTCTCACAGGTCACACTCACATTGTCATAACAGCCGCATTGATGTGCTCTGTGCGCGCTCATTATGCAGTGTTTAGATGGACTGCTTAAGCAAACACAGGCCGATCGGCTCCGCCGGCCGTCTGCAGCCTGAGCAAACAGACACGATTAAACCTCAGAGTTGTTGTTAGACTATCTTCTAGAGGCTAATGTGAGTTAAAGAGCGAGATCTAGCGGAAAGAACTTTGACCTGAAATCACGCTGCACATTTTTGTCCAAAGTTCTCATTAATATCAACAGCGGGAGGGGGTTCCTTCATTTAAAAATGTACAGTTTAAAATTTTTTTGTTTTAGTGTTGCAAGTGCCAAAATCTAAACTCCTCCGATTAATTTTGTTTAATGCATGTCAGTGAATTACATCAGAGTCAGTATGACATCACCTGGACTTCCAGTGGAAACATTCCTGTCCTCTTCTGACTAATCGCCCATTTCGAAGACGATAGCTTGCCCTCAAATATGCTGTCTAAGGAGGTAAGAAATGCCCCCCCCCCCTACACTGTGGGGCACAATCCATCTTATTTATATGGAAAATGGGGGCCCCTGTGCCTCCAGACCCATCCGGAGTGCGGCATGCATGGATCCTTCCTGTCTCCTCCCTGCGGGTCTGGTGGGGGTCAGCCAGCGGCTTCCCAAAGTCACACAAGGTCAGCCTGCCTCCTCCTCGCCCCTGACATGGCTATTCACATATGTTTTACTCAAGTGATTCAGCTTAAAAGCCTCCAACAGCAGGGCCACTCGTGGGATTTAAAATGGACCTTTATCTGTGCAGCTATCATGCTATCTTCCTGAATTGCGAGCCTCTGTCTTCTTTCCTCACTGTATCAATCTGTTCCTATTAGGCGTTCCTCTCGGTTGGCTGGGTGGCAGTTGGGGGGGGGGGCTGCTCTGTGTGGGTTTCCTGTTGCCCACAGAGTCCAGCTGGCTGGCTGTCTCTGGCAGATGTAAAAGCCGCGGCCCCATCCCAGGCGTGGTGCATGAAGCCGCGATTCACCACTGTCTTACCCATCCTGAGGCTGTTTTCAAGGTCCTATATCTGCAAGAGCCCTGGGCTCCCCGACCGGGCTGTGAACCTCCTGGCCGTCTGTCACTGACGAGTCGTCCCGCGGTTGTGGTGACACACATAACCGGCCTGATGGGGGTGCTTCAGTAAGTACTGTAAGTCACCCCACGTGCCCGGACCTCTTCCCTGCAGGCCTGAGTTTCGCTAAGCCCCTCTCCAATTGAGACTCACACCTGGTCAGCATTTGGTGCTCTCTCTCTCTCTCTCTCTCTCTCTCTTTATTCCTTCTCTTCCAATTCCCTGAGGGAGCATCATACAAGCATAAATGGTCCAATGCACTGGCTGCAATTCATTAAAAAAGTGCCATTTTCGAGTTCTCTGCATCCCCGCCCTGCGTTAAAGGTCAGCTGAAATCCGCCCAGACAGTTAAATTATTGAAGATGTTTCCTTTTCATTGGTTCTCCTGTGGATATACTTTTAGTCTCTGTTCATAAACCTTACACCCCAGTGCTCCAGTTGGTCTCCAGCTGGTGAACCTGAAAAATTTGACTTTTTAATGATACGTTTCGAAAAAAAGAGGACACGGCCTAAGGTTATTGTTAGCGTTTTAGTATATCAGAGTGATTAGCATACCTTGAAGAATAATCACTTTGGGCAATGAAATACAGCCCCATATGGTAATTGAACTTTACAGGGAAATTCCAGTGGCCAAAGAGTAGGTTGAGATCCCATAACCTTTGGGTAGCCAGTGATCCAGCTACTTAACTGTTGAGAGGAACTGCATTTTCAAATCATCCGGACTGGTCTTTCTAGTCATTTTGGAATTTAAATGTAAAATTCAGCAGCCAGAACAGAGGTCAGGGTCACTTAGGCCCCCAGTTGAGGCTGCCACCGCCATTCTGAGCCTGGAGATGAGTTGTAGAAGAGCGAAGAAATCCCAGAATCAGCAAATTCTGCTGACCCGCACAGCTGGGACCGGGAACATGGAGGGTGTCGGGCAGGCTGTCTTTGCAAGTCGTTACAGCAGAGGAAGCCTCCAGCACCCAGGGGGCCTCGTGGCACCGAGGAGGACATGCTGCAGAGTCACAAGGTTAAAGCATGAACACCAAACACGGTAGAAACTTTTCTTTACCTCAGTGAATTCACGGGTCATGTTTTTGTGTTACCCCGGTGTGTGCAGCGATGGATAAAACGTGCAGAAATAAGTTGATTCCTATTCATGTCATACCTATATTCTTAGCAGAGCAATTCATTCCTCCTCTCTACCTCATCATAAAGTTACTCAATGGGATCCTGCTCTCCTGCACATTTTTCTCTCAATTCATTACAATTCCCGGAGACCTCTGAATGAAAAACATGGCGGCCGGAGATCACATGACCGCCATTCAAATCAGAAGCAGTCATCGAGGGGGCGGAGAGAGAAGGAGCCGCATTTCTGCAAAGTGTCAACACAACATGTTTCGATGGCGTATCTGAAAGAAAGAACTGATGCATCTGTCAGGCAAGCGGGAGCAAGGATTTGCATGAGAAGGTGAACGGCAGCAGGACTTGGAGTGGGAGCGGATACTTCCTGTCATACACAGCGGGCCGAATTAGGGGGAGGAAAGCCTTTTCAAAGAGGATAAACCCCTCAAATGCTATTTTGTTACACTATGCTATTTTATTACATTGGTTGTCTTTCAAAGTTGCAGCTTGAAATGATGCTGGAAAGTGCTTTAATAAATGGGGAGGTCTCTGATTTATAGACCCTGTCAATGGGAAGTGGAGGAAGGCTCAGATACCATCAAAATATTGCAAACAGCTCTGTGGAGTTGGGCAGGTCTCCAAAAAAGAGTCCGCCTGTCTTCACAGGACCCTGGAGCGCTGCCGTCCAGCAATGGGGCTGTTCCCGTTGCATCCAGAACTACGGATGATGAGGGCGGAGGGTTTCACATGCCGCGGGGGGCTGATATGTACACAGAGGGCGATGATCAAGGAAATGTGCCGTGAATGGTACCTGTGCCAAAGGCTGGGGATTATGATGCCAAAGTTGGAGGGCCACCAATCTGAGAATATTGGCCCTGTTAGCATGACAAAACAAGCCTGGCACGTTAATGCCATTAAGGTCATGAGATGCACTGAGCATTCTGCCAACGGCACCTTCGCCATGTCAATGTGGCATCTCCCACACGCCGCTGCTGCCCTGACCCATGAACCGGTGGCCATAGGTTGGCTGCAACCCCTGTTTTTGGCTATTTGTCAAAACTTCAGGATCCATGATTTGGACAGCTGGCCAGCACGTGTCTGTGGAGCGACACTCACAGCCGCCCATGGCTGATCCCGGCATCGGCGCTCCCTTAAACCCACTCCCTCCATCATTCACGGTCCTTGGAGGTGCCTGATTCACCTGCATCCACAACAGCTTTTAACTGGTGTGCCTAAATGCTTGTGATGTAACAGCTGACAAAAGAGGCTTGGGGGAAAGTAAATGGCCTGACTATGAACATAAGACCATAAGAAATTTACAAACGAGAGGAGGCCATTCGGCCCATCAAGCTCGTTTGGGGAGAACTTAACTAATAGCTCAGAGTTGTTAAAATATTATCTAGCTCTGATTTAAAGGAACCCAGGGTTTTAGCTTCCGCTACACCAGCAGGAAGACTATTCCATACTCTAACTACACGCTGTGTAAAGAAGTGCTTCCTCAAATTTGTTTTAAAATGTTCTCCCGTATGGTTGAAAGAACCCGCGTCTTGAGACTCGAGGAACGCACCACCGGCGATGAGTCGTGTGGATTATGTAGGAAGCACAGGTAGACTCAGACATCAGTGGCTGTGTCCAGATTCAGGGGCTGCATCCTTCTGAGGCTGCAATCGAAGACCAAATGCATCACAGCGGCATGATAAAGCTGTCCCACTTCAAAGGCTCCTTCAAATGCGGTCTAGAAATGTGTCCATCTTTTGCAGATTTGCAAAGTATCCACTCAGTGGATCCTTTGCAGCCCAATATATGCCAGGATTCATTGCGCAGAGGTAAAATGAGTGTGACCCAGCTAGACTACAAGAGGGGTGCTTCGTCACTCAAGGGTAAGGGCGGGAACAGCTGGTGAAGGCCAGACCATCATTTTTGACAGCACTTTTTGGCCAACCTATATTGGCTACGCCTTCCTAGACTTTGTCCTTTGAAGGATGCAGCCCCTGAATTTGCACACAGCTATCATGTGACTGGTTTGGCTCAAAGTCGCCAAGGGCCGGCACCTCGGATGAAGACGTACCTTTCACCTCTAGCCAAATGCACCGCCATGCTGCTCAGCAGGAGACACTCATAGATGTGGAAGTAAACCTGAAAGACATGAAAATAGGGGTTGAATTTCAGTCCGCGGTGGGAGATGGCATGAGAAGCTGATGAGCCGCGGGGATATCTGTGTACAGTGAGTGAAAGTGAACCTGCAGGCAGCATAGCACCCCTGCTGGTGAATTTGGTGTGTTACAACCCAAACAGCTCAGTGTCACTGTATCGATAAAGACTGGCATGCTTAGGGTGCCGTAGGTTTCCCTGCAGTGGGGCATGTTTCTGCATCATGCGTCATAATAAAAATACAGCGTGTCTGACCTGTGGAAGTCAAATTTAAGCCACACCCACCCCCCCATATTAATGGCCCATGACCTCACTTTCTTCTCCAGCACTTTGACATTTTTCATTTTTCCAATTTTTCTGGAACCTTCTGGGAATAGACCTCTTTTATAATGGACCAACAAAAAAAACAGGTGTTCTGGGATCCCCAGAAGAGCGCCCCCTTTGGGCAGCTGCTTATTAATATCGACGTCTTCATGCTGCCCGTGTATCACTGTGGCTCCTTCCCAGTGAAAACAGACATTACTCTTTCCGGCAGTTTCTTTATTGCTCTGGGTCCATCCCTGTGATCTAGACTGGAACCAAAAGTTTGCTTCTGGTGCTATAGATCACAGAGATATTATAAGGACCACAATAAGATAGGAGAAAATGTTTTGAAACCGAGCTGTCATGAAAATGAGCAAGGCTGCAGTTTCTAAATGCTTTAAGTGCGCAGGTGCTGCGATATGAAAGCCTTTCATCTCCAGAAAAGTCCCAAACCAGCAGACGGTAGGGTTGGGGGGATAACTTAGGCTTAGTGCCCCCCATCCGCACAATGGCATGTTTTCCTAAAGGGTTTGGCTAATTTGGCTGGGAGGTAAACAAGGCCCAGGTGGGTTGTGGGTAGACTCCCAGGATGCATTTGGAGAAGGAGGTTTGAGGTGGGCGACACTTTAGTGGGCCCTAATTACAGCAGTGAGGCAAGCTCTGTGAGGCGAGCGGAAGACTTATGCTGTGGTGAAGTCAGGCTTCCCTACTGTAGGGCTCGGTGAGTAATCGTGTGTAGGACAAGCTGCGACTTCCTGTTAGCCCAGGATCTTCTGTGCTCTGCTGCTGGATACATTCTCCCACGGACCAGCTAGGGAGGCATCCTTACTCGCTACAAATTGTCCTCTTGTTTCCAGTCAAGTCCTCTTCCTTGGCATCGCCCTTAAAGGGGCAGTTCACCCCAAACCTGAAAAACAGGGCGGATATGTTTTAGAGGGGCTTTAGTGCTCTCTAGCCATCGAGGTTGTTCTGCTGGTTGCCTAGTTTTGGAGATGTTGCTCGTAGAAATGTCGGTCTTCTCTTGAATATGATGGGAGTGAATGACATTCAAGAGAATCCACAAGCTTTGTAGTTAGCATTTTAATGTAGGAACTATTTTCTTCTCCCGAACTCCACACACCAATCGTATCACCATGCAGAAGATATCGTCGGGGTGCTTGTGCTCGTATCTTCTGCGCATTGATACTGAACAACTAGGCCATGATTTCTTGTAATAGATGTTGCTGTTGGATTTTTCAAATGTATTTTTCTGGTGCTTTAATTGCCACAGAAAGGACGCCATTCGCTCCCATTATATTCAAGAGAAGCCCAACATTCCTACGGCCGAAATCTCCAAAACGAGGCAACTTTCAGCAGAACGGCATAGATGGATAGACAGCACTAAAGCATATCTCCAAAACAGGGAGCAGGAGGTGAACTCTTCATCATACATTACATGTACCCTCCCTGGCCCATATTTAATAAAATATTAATACCTTCAAAGACATACAGTCAAGGAAAAAATGAAGAGACCACTCCATATTTTTCAAGAATCTACATTGTTAAATCCTGGTTTAAACCCAGTTCTGCTGGCAGAAGGCTGAGCTGAGCGGCAGGTTGCTTCCAGGTTCAAAGACTGCAGTACATGAAAACAACATGAAGCTGGAGACGCTGGGAATAACCAAAATCCAGCCGGGGCAGAAGCAGCTTTCTAATGCCAGAGATGACCGTCAACTTATCCAGCAGTGCCTCATAAATCGGAGGGTGACCTCAAATGACCTTCAAAAAGAATAGGAAACATTAAGTGGTATGAAGTTCACTGCTAGAACAGCTCGTATCAGGCTCTTAGAAGCAGAGCCTGAAGTACCATAAAGCGAGGAAGAAGCCCTTCAAGCTGGGAAGCTGGGAAGAGCCAGGCTGGAGTTTGCAAAAAACATGCATATTTAAACTGAGAAATAAGTGAAACTAAAAATGTTGCTGTGGTCTCTTCATTTTTTCCAGAGCCGTACAGTCATATGTCTTGGTGACAGTCCGTAATAGTTGTTCACGTTACAATTTCACAGAGCTATCAATATAATTAATTATATTACATGATTAAAATGAAGGGTGGCGCTGATGCCTCACACCTCCAGTGTTGGGGGTTCGAATCCTGCATTTGCTACGTGTGTGCACAGTTTTCTTGCTCTCTTTGTGCCATGCTGGGTCCCACTCGGAGTTCTGTTTCCTCCTGCAGTTAGGCTAACTGACATCTCTAATTTGACTGTAGTGTATGACTGTGTGTGATTGTGTGCCTGTATGTACCCTGCGATGGCCTGGCATCCCGTCCAGAGTGAACCTTGTGCTGCCTGAGATAGGCTCTAGGCCCCCTTACAACCCTAACCAGGGTAAGCAGCTGGACGGTGACATATTCCGCTATAACCCATGACTCAGCAGGCCAGGACTATGGACACTTAGGTCCCTTAATATTTGTCCACCTCTTCAACAGATAGCAATGACTCTGAGAAAGATCCATGGAAGTACCGCATGTATAAAATCATTCTTGAAGCATAATAAAGGTTCAGGCCTTTTTCCAAGTGGTCACCCTTCATTCCTCGCCACTGCAGATCTCGCCTTTCTCTTCTGTTTGCCCATTTATGGAATCCCTCTCCCCGTAACAGTATCGTCTCCATAAAAGCCAGATGGTCTTCTTTCCGCACCTAATTCCCCAAAGAGGTTTGTTTTCACGGCGTCTGTCACTCACAGGTTCATACCTGGTATCAGCCTCCTCTTCTCTCGCTCAGTAGTGGAGGGGTATCATCTCAGACACGGGCCAGAATATCACACGATCCCCCACCCCCACCACCACCCTGGCTGCAGTTCACGCAGAACGACAAACAGATGCTGTCCCTCGAAGGCAGCATGCAGGCGGTGTCTTGGCAGGATTGAATTGCAAGGAGCGACTCCCCAAGACCAGAAACTTCTTAGACTGCAACATAAATCCTTACACGGCTGAGCTACTCCGCTTTCTTGGACCAAATCGCCCACCGGTCAATAAACTTATAAAACATTTAGAGGCTACCTTTCCGTCGTATCCACCTTCATTTCAACTGTGCACCAGCGGTACAAACAAGACCTTGAGAGAGAAAATGGTTGCCCACTGTGAGGGGGCACAGCCCTACAAAGAAAATTAACATTCATTGCAGAGCCTTCCAGCTACTGTAACCTTTCCTGCTCTGCACTGGGGACCCTACAAAATAAGAATCCTTGAATGGAGCCACAATCGGTAACCTTCAAATGAGCAAGAGGCTGTTCAGCACATCATTCAGCAGATGCACAATGCAGACAAAAAGCACCCTCAGAACAGCGCTCTTTTAATTTCCAGAACTGAGAAAGCACACTGAGAAATTCAATGGTTATAAAAATATCATTCAAAAATAAACATTGAATTTGGTTCCTCTATTACACAAAAAATCTCTTTTTCAGGCCATGGGCTGTGCCTTTTTAGACAAATGAATTCACAACTCAAGGCAAAACCAAATGCAGTTTGTTTGTGTTCTCGCCTTCTTTGAGTGGATATCTTACAAGGTTATTTGCCAAATTAATTTCATAAGTACTGTGACACATGTTCAGGAAACATACAACGGGCCTTTTTTGAACTGACCCATCGCTCCCCAGCTTTCAGCTAGCAAAAGAAATGAAAAAATGAAACAAAACAAAACAAAACTGGCCCATTGATGGGCGTCTATAAAAGGCAGACGAACACGTCGCCTTTCTGACACAAACCCGCAGTGTTACTCTCTGGCTACAGCTCAGCAGAGGCATTTCTGCAAATATTTGTTATTTTCTTTTTATTTATATTATATATTATTCATCAGGAATTTCACAGTATTTAAGCTGTAAGAGCAACACATGTATGTATTATTAATGTTCAATACATATTCATATGATTTTTACGATTCAAGGCCAGTTGAACATTGAAGTTATTGGTGAAGGTTTTATGATTCGTGAAACACGGGCACTTCGTTGTCCTCCTGGGGGCGGGGGCACACGAGCGGACCAGCAAGCCAAACTCCGTCTCACACGGCTGCTTCACCATCTATGTTATTTAAAATGATGGGGGTCAGGGGTAGGTCACAGGCTTCAGCTTAGAAATGCCACACCTTTTCCACCCTGCGCTGTGACCTCACTGCAGCTGTCAGGTCACCCTGTGCTGTGTACGATCTGGGCCACAAGAGGTCCACACCAGCACTTCCCAACAGCACCCAGATGGCGGACAAATAACACTGATTACACCTCTGGAACGTGGCCGCTATGGGTCGGCGCGAGTCGGCATTCGATACCCACTGACAGATACGGACCTCTGCTTTGATGTCACTTCCTGTGCAGGTCACATGGATCAGCTGCCAGTGGACTGTGGAACCTCAGACAGAAGTGAACATTGATTTCCAGGGTGAGTACGGGGCCTGAAATCCCACGACTCTGCTAGGCTCCCAAATCAGCCTGAGTGCTGGTTTCCAACCAGCACAAATCACCCGGCATCCAAGGCACGCCTTCACAAGCAGCTCAGCGCAGAATCCTGCGGCAGAAGATTCCCTGCCTGCTGGCTAAAGATTATTTCGCCCTTGTAAAGGGGAGGAAACATCATTAACTGGAGTTGGAAAATGGACCAGTCGGATCCACCATATCCAGTTTGGCGAGATAGTTCCTCTTTTTTTTCGTGGCAGCCTGAAAACCTTTCCTGGCGGGCTTACAGGCTCGGAGATGATGGTGTCCATGTGCTTTCTGTAGCGACCATACACGCTGGCACGTTGTCAGCATGCTGGGGAAGGCAGCCTTACAATCGGGGTGGCTTATTTCCTCTATGAGAAAAACGATCAGCCTTAGATTGTTACTCCTGGAGCTGAAATGGTCGTGTTGAGTAGGAAATGTCCCCCTTTTAGCTTACAGCTGAATTAGCTGTGGATTTAGCTGAAGCTACCCAAGTGGGTCCGAGGCTGTACCGTTATTCTTGTTTAATCTTATTTTGAATGTTATAATTGCAATGTATAGCCTACAATAAATGCATGAAACAGCAGTACTGCAGCAGCAGCACTGTACAGCTGGATATTGCTATAAGGCTCTACATGGGATGTTCAGTCCATTTTTCCATTTAGGACAGAAATGCGCATATTGTGTTTTCCCTCCCGCGTACTGAAACGTTCTTACGTAAGTGGTTCAGTAGGAGGCGAAACACTGGAATATTTTCCAGCAATTGCACCAGCGTGAGCGTCCAGATGTGGCCCGAAGGTAATCATGCGAGGACAGCTCTGCACATCAAGCCCCCCCAGACC